TTGCAGCCATCCTTCTCTCCCTCTTACAGAGAGGGAGCCCACTTACGAACAAAAATTTCCTTCATGGATTTACATTTCCTTGACAAAAGGGTAACTTCTACTCTATTTTCAGAGTTTCTCCTGTGTCAGCAGTTTCTCAAAATAATCAACTCAAAATAGTCCTTATGCCAAAGAGGTATATTTTGGGGTGGCATATTTTGATCTCCTCCATGGTGTTAGTGTAAATGACAGATTAAAGACCTCCAAAAATACTCTCCTTCATAGAAGCAATGAGAATACTGCAAAAATTGTCAGAATAAATCTTCAGAACTTCAGAAATCAATCAAAGTTTTGCAACAATCCAGAATTTAAGAAAAATGATTGAATACTGGTAAGAACATTGAGTTGTGTGGCATATTAACTTCCATTCTCATAGTCCTCTCTTTGGTTCCACAGTGGCCTTGAAAACTGTTTGCCATCATGGTGAAAACTAGGAGCCTGGCTGCCACTGAAAATGACAGAACAGTGTTTGAACTCCTACAAAGCTCAATTTCTTTTCTTTTTCTCTTCTTTTCTTTTCTTTTTTTCTTTTTTTTCTTTTTTTTTGGTGTGTGTGTGTGTGTGTGTGTGTGTGTGTGTGTGTGTGTGTGTGACGGAGTCTTGCTCTGTTGCCCGGGCTAGAGCGCAGTGGTGCAATCTCCGCTCACTGCAAGCTCCGCCTCCAGGGTGCACGCCATTCTCCTGCCTCAGCCTTCCAAGTAGCTGGGACTACAGGCGCCCGCCACCGCACCCAGCTACCTTTTTGTATTTTTAGTACAGACGGGGTTTCACCGTGTTAGCCAGGATGGTCTCGATCTCCTGACCTCGTGATCCACCCGCCTCGGCCTCCCAAAGTGCTGGGATTACAGGCATGAGCCACCGCGCCCAGCCACAAAGCCCAATTTCTTAAAAATTGCCATTATTCGAATTGTTGGGTGGTTTCTCTGGACCACCTGACTCTCAAGGCTATTTTTATTTGATTTGACACAGAGCTTGCCCAGAGGAAGCTCACCCAGTATAAAAGTCATTTCTTTGAAGGTTTTTCATTAAAAAAAGAAAAAAAGGCCGGGCGCGGTGGCTCACGCCTGTAATCCCAGCACTTTGGGAGGCCGAGATGGGTGGATCACGAGATCAGGAGATCGAGACCATCCTGGCTAACACGGTGAAACCCCGTCTCTACTAAAAAATACAAAAAATAGCCGGGCGAGGTGGCAGCGCCTGTAGTCCCAGCTACTCGGGAGGCTGAGGCCGGAGAATGGCGTGAACCCGGGAGGCGGAGCTTGCAGTGAGCTGAGATCCGGCCACTGCACTCCAGCCTGGGCGACAGCGCGAGACTCCGTCTCAAAAAAAAAAAAAAAAGAAAGAAAAAAAATTACATGGAGTTGTCTAATATCATGGTCACCCATAAAACAATGGGGAAACCCTAAAAAGAAAAGCTGGGGGAAAAAAGAGGTCAATAGAGGCTCTGGAAAGTTTTTATAAGTTTGATATATATATAAAATTGGGAATGCTACGTGCATATACAGAGTTTAGACTTTAAAAGACAGTGTTGGGGGTGCAGAAACCAATTCCACAAAATATGATGCTTTGGCATGTTGCATGCTTTGAATATGGAAAGGCCTCAGAAATAAGTCACAGAAGCGAGGTCTGTCTCTAACTTTTTGCATGCTTCCCTGTGTCTCTGGTCCTCTTTTCCAAAACACCAGGAGGGACTCTCTAGAATTTCCTCATCTAAGAAAGCTTCATTCCAAAAGAAATGCAAGTGTCCTAAGACTCCTTCTCTAGGAATCTCATCAAATAACCAAGAAAGACTAACCGCAGAAGACACTGGGAGTCCTCATCATACCCGACAGACTTCATTTATTCTTCTGAGGGAGGTTCTGGGAGATTACCTGGGGAACTTTACCCACATAATAAGCTGGGAGAATTATTTACTGACCATTATCTGCCACATTCATTCTCCCATTTTCCTCTCCCCTATGGAGAGGCCATTTAACCCTCAATCATCTTGGCTCCTCTTTGACTTCCTGTTTTGCATGACTGCCATGAACACATATGCACATAATAAATTTGTTTTTCTCTTGTTAGCCTGTTTTTTTGTTATGGTGTGTTGGCAGTGACCTTATACGGTGGTCATCACCGCCCTTCTGCACTGGAAGCACTAAGCTTTTTACAGAACCACAGGTATAAATGTTCATTAGGCAATGGTTTCTTAGGTATGACACTGTAAGCACAAGCGACCAAAAAAAAAAAGGATAAATTGGGCTTTATTGAAATAAAACATTTTATGCTTCAAAGAAGGTTATTAACAAAGTAAAGAGACAACACACCAAATGAGAAAATATATTTGCAAATCAAATCTCTGATAAGGGTTTAGTAACCAGAATACATATAAGATACTTAAAGACAGAAAATAAAAAAAGAAAAACCCAATTATAAAAGAAATAAAGAATCTGAATAGCCATTTCTGCAAAAATAATATACAAGTATCTAATAATCATCTTTAAAAGATGCTCTACATCGTTAGTCACTAGGGAAACGTAAATCCAAATTACAATTTGATGCCATCTTACATTCACTAGGATGGCTATAAAGAAATAGATGGACCATAACAAGTGTTGGCAAGGAGGTGGAAAAAGTTGAAAGACTCATACATTTCCTGTGGGATTATAAATGAAGCAATTCTTTGGAAAACATTTTGTCAGTTTTTAAAAAGTTGAATAGGAGAGTTACTATATGACCCAATAATTTCACTCTGAGCTATATACCCAAGAGAAATGAAAACATATGTTCACACAAATACTTGTACATATGTGTTTGAAGCAGTTTTATTCTCAATAGCCAAAAAGCAGAAAAAACTCATGTTTATTAACTGATGAATGAAAAAATTATAATAAATCAATAAATAGAATAATATTCAGCCATAAAGAGAACTAAATTATTGATACACCTGACAACATGGATGAACCTTTATAAAAATGCAAGTAGAAGAAGCAAGATACAAAAGACCATAAAACATAGAATTCAACGTGTATGAAATATGCAGAACAAACAAATACATAGAGACAGAAAATAAATTTGTGGTTGCCAGGGTCTGGGAAGAGAGTGTAATGAAAGGCAAGCTCTTTTTTTTTTTTTTTTCTTTTTTCTTTTTTGTTTTTTGAGAAGGAGTCTCACTCTGTCTCCAAGCTGTAGTGCAGTGGCGCGATCTCAGCTCACTGCAACCTCTGCCACCCAGGTTCAAACAATTCTTCTGCCTCAGCCTCCCCAGTAGCTGGGACTACAGGCACTCACCACCATGCCTGCTTAATTTTTGTATTTTTAGTAGAGATGGGGTTTCACCATGTTGGCCAGGATGGTCTCGATCTCTTGACCTCATGATCAGCCCACCTCAGCCTCCCAAAGTGCTGGGATTACAGGCATGAGCCATCATGCCTGGCCTGAAGAGCAAGTTCTAATGGGAATGGGATTTTTTTGGGGGCTAATAAATTGGAATTAATTAGAACTGAATTAGCAGTGATGGTTATACTACTTGTGAATATATCAAAAATAACTGATTTCTTGTATAGTTTAAAAGAGTCTCTTTTATGGTATACAAATCATATTTCAATTTTTAATAGGATTATGAAAAATGTAAAAATATGCAGAAAAAAATGGAACTCAACCATATGCATAATCAGTGTGTGCAAGGAAAGAATTAGAGCAATGAAATAGAAAAATATCATTTGCATAAGCCAGGAAAGAAAACCTTTCAGACATAAAAAATTTTTCAAATCTTTATATGTCAAAGAAACACTGTATATGAGAGAGGGGAAAATGACGAAAGCAAATAATTCTAAGATATTCTAATAAATGTATGGAAAAAATAATAACTTGAACAGTTGTATAAAATATAAAACTCCCTATTAAAAAGCAGGATTCAGCAATTTGTGTATCGTGAGATGCCAGACTACCTTAGGCCCACTAAATTCTCAGGGAAAGACAGAATGGCCCAAGAATTTCTAGCCAAACAATAATGCTAGCACAAACTCAACATTAAAGAACAAATAGGCATGTGGGTGTCCAGAGAGTGCTGTTTTTGTAAGTGATTCTTTAGGAAACTATTAGAGGATGAATCTCAGTAAACCAATTAGTAAACAAAATTATTGCAACAAAATTTCAGCACTGAGCATTGAGTACATGAATTGACTAAAATTTGAAATAAATATGATAATTTTGTTTACAGAAAAAATGTAAAAAACTGTAAACCCTGATGATATAGAAATAATATAAAATTTCTAATGTTGGAAGGGGATAGGGAAAAATGTGGGAGTTTATGTACATCTCCATCTCTGATTTTCTCAATTTTTAAAAAAAATCTGGTTGACAAATACAATTAGAAGTTGCTAGCTATATGGTGGAGATGTAAGTATATTTCAAGGTGTAAAAGTTTAAAAAGTAAAGTAATACAATCAGTTAATATGTTGGTAGAGAATAAAGAAGAAAGCATTGTACAAAGGAGAAGTAAAGCTTTTTGCACTGTGTTAATAACCCTGCCTTTTGCTGTAGTAATATCAGTGTGGTCGATTCCAATGTTGATGTGTAATACATAGTGTAAGCACCGTCATCTTTGTAAAAACCTAAATAATTTGATTTCAGAACAGGGTTTGAGCTAAGGAATGTTTGTAATTCCAGAATTGTATAGTGCGGACAATAAATAGTTATTATCTAAAGAGGCTTAAAGATATTTTTTAAAGTTAATATTATCTTAGCTAACCATTAGAGCAAGTAGTAGTATATAACCATTTTTTTGAGAAGGAAATCCAGAAAGCCAGATGTACGTAAAATACATTTGAAAGGTTTAAAAATAAAATTCACAGCAGAACATATGAGAGATGAAATAGTACCAGACATATCTACTATTCATTAAATAAATGAACTAACTTTGTATATTAAATGAAAAAAATGGAATTGAAAATAAAATCAAATATAAGGTTGCAGACAAGCAATACTCATGTAAATAAAGCAATTCAAACAGTTTGCACAAAAAACATTCCAGGTAAATGAAAACACAAAAACATGGATATCATAACCTTAATAAGGTAAATTATTGAATTCAGGATTATAAATAAGTAAATAAATACCTGTTACAGAGAATGGCACTTTACAATAATAAACATTATAATCCATAATGCAGATTTAACAGTTATGAGTACTTACGTGAGAAGAGTGTAGCATCAATATTCTAAAAGCAATAACTGCATGGAAAATAAGGAAAAACAGAAAATACTAGTTGTAGGAGATTATAATTTGCCTCTCAATTTATGGCAGATAAAACTGATTAAAAATAAAAGCTTATAGAAAACCAAAAATAATTAATAATTGGGTAAATCCAATTCACAGATGTATAGAAAGCAAAATGTAAAGAAGACCCCAATGACCCACACCATTGTATAATACCATCCTCTTAAGTGTGGAAGATATACGTAATTTGCTTCTAAACATAAAATAAGACAAAAGTTATGGGCTATCACTCCTGTGGTTATCTTACCTTATATGGCAAAGGTGGAGGTATTCTGTCAATGTAATAAAGGTCCCTAATCAGTTGACTTCAAGTTAATCAAGAGAGTAACTCAGGTGGGTCTGACCTAATTAGGATAACTCATTAAAACCAAGTCTACAGGACAGAGAAGGCAGAAATCAGAGAGAGGCGCTCCTTCTGCAATAGAAAAGCAGACAGGCATGGGAGGAGGTTGCTAAGTCCCCTACCGTGAAGGAGTTTCAGAGGTGAGGGGCATGAATTGGAGGAACTGTTGGATTCCAATTTGGACAGATTCTAGAATCTTTTGTTGGAGGAGGCTCTGTTTAATGTAGGCTGATTTGCAAGTGACAGCATGCATGGGCTTATGCAAAATTTGTAAATGAGGAATATGTTCCCTCTAGAACCCAAATGTCTAAAAGAGGTTGAGGGTGCTGAGAGTTTATTGACCCAGCTGTTTCTTGACAGTGTCAGGGATTGAGCAGCCCTTGGCTTACCAAATAATTTTCGACAAAGTATCCAAGATGGGCTGTCTTGTACTATGTGTGGGGCAATGACCTACCCTTTTTATGAGCTCCTTTGTATTTGTGTGCTCTGAACGAGTGTGTCATATGAATCTCCTTAGAGGGAGATGTTACAATATAGTGTCATACCTGTGCTTCTGGAGAAAGGTAGATGCAAATAGGATTGACCTGCAAAGGCTGTGTGTGGTGGCAAGGCTGCCGGAGTACCCCATGCATTCTGTAGCAAAGGTTATCATGTCCCTTTAGAGGTGAAGGAAAACTGCAGCTGAGAGACTGACAAAAGAGAACTGAGCAGAAGATATTGACCAAATCCAGCACAGCAAAATATTTACCAACTTCTATATTTCAATAATATTGTGTGTATGGGGGTGGTGCTTAGTGCCTGGAACCATAGATTTAAGAGTGCAGGAATCAGGCACCATTTATTCTTTCCAGGATTAAGAGCAGACCAAATTGAGCTATTAAATGGAGAAGCCATAAGAATAATCACCCTTTCATTTGCTACATCTTGTGTGATGGGTTTTAATCCTTGAAGTCCCTGGGAATAAGGGTGTTACTGGGAGTAAGGTCCATGGAGTCCCTATTTTTTTTTTCATGATAATTTGTAAGTGGCAAAGACGTCATTGAATTTTAATTTATTACCCATTGTATGAGAGCACTCATGCCCACTATGGGATATTTTAAGGAAATGAGTGTTTTGAGCATGGAGAAATTTCAGTACTTAAGGTGAGGCATACCTGTTTGTAATCTCTTTATGTTCAAGAGCTCCCCTAAAATTATAGGGGGTATTTGGTTTAAATTTTGTAGGATCACCAGGAATAATCGATTAGGGACCCATTATTAATTAAGGCAATGAAGGTTTGCGGTTGGAATATTATAGCACATTTTAAAGTTAATTCAGAACCTAGCCTAGAGAGGTACAGGAGTCAATAGGAAACCTTTTATCAGAATTTTTGTTGTTTTAGTAGATAAATTTTAATTTTCCAATTGGATCAAACTGTGGATCTCTGTTTCAACTTTTGTTTCTCTTCCTGTACTCAGGATTTTTTTTCTTCTTCCTTCCTTCCCTCCTTTTTTAGACAGTGGGGAGAAATTGTTGTTGTTGCTGTTACTGATGTACTTCAGGGTAGTCCCTCTCTACCCTATCCTATTTCTGAGTTGTTTTCTCCAGAGAGCCTCAAATGAGTGTTTTCAGGGTTAGGGCATTCCCTGTGGCACTGGTTGCTTTATAGGGTTGAAGTCTGACCTTAAGTTGTGTTTGAATTAACCTCTTTGTTGTGTGCAGATGCCATGGCTATTTCTTTCTGTAGCCCTAAATTGCTGAAAGAGGAAGTCTCTAAAGGTGGAATGGCCACGAAATGACATGTTGGCGACTTTTCCTTTGAAATAGGTATGGCTTCAACACAAAGTTATAAAGATCATGTGGAGGAGCTCTGCACATCCTTCACTTGGTTTCTCTTAATGGGTACATCTTATGTAATTATAGATCAATATCAAAGGAAGGGATCTGATATTGGTGGGATGCATGTTTATAGCTCTGTCATTTACAGCATGTGTATGTAGATTCACTAACCAGCCTTCACCATCAGGAACACAAGACTATTCCATCTCCACAAAGACCTGCCTCCAGCCACCCCCATAGTCACACCCACACCCCTCACCTAGCACCCCAGCCACCGGTGACCACTAATCTGATTCCATCTCTGTAATTTGTCATTTTGAGAATTACATACAAATGGAGCCATACATTATGTAACCTTTTGAAATTGGGTTTCTCACTTGTGATTTCCTGGGCATGTATCCATGTTGTCGTATGTATCAAGAGTTCATTCCTTCCTATTGCTGAGTAGCATTCCATCGGACCACATGTCTCCCAGTTTATCTAACCATTCATTCATTGAACGATACATTCCCAACTAGGGCTATTATGAATAAACCTGCTAAGAGCATTGGTGTATGTGTTTTTGTGTGAACCTGATTTTTCATTTTTCTAGAATAGATGCTCCACTGCAATTGCTGAGTCTTAAGGTAATTGCATGTTTAGTTTTATAGGAAACTGACAAACCATTTTCCAAAGTGTCTGTAAAATTTTATACTCTGACCAGCAACATACCAGGGACCCAGTTTCTCCATATCCTCCCAGTGACTATATGTTGTATTATGTTGGTGCACAAGTCATTGCTTTTAATGGCAAAAACCGCAATGACTTGTGCACCAACCGAATAATTTTGCAAAGTGTCTAGAATATTCTTTCAAGTATATTGTTAATTTTAAGAATTAACAATTCTTAAAACAATTGTTGTTTCAGAGACTAGGAACTGGATTTGAGGGGTTAAAACAGCAGGAGAGACAAGGTTTTTACACTATTCTCTTTTGTTTCAGTTGAAATGTATACTGTATGCACATAGCACTTATTCTACATAAATTATTATTTTACAAAAAGCTGTGACTGCTTTGTAATGTGTGCCACACTTTCGAATTCTTAGAAGCTCCTGACAGGCAAGAACCCTGTTTCATCCCCTGATGCATCCTAGGTGCCTAGAACAGTGTTATACACTTAGTACTGTAGTATACTTGTACACATTTAAGAATAACCAGTCAGTCCTTGCTCATGCATTCCAGTTAAGAGGAAACTTCATTCTACTATCACATATTGTCATTGGTCACCTACAGACACACACACTCTTATCCTTCTCTTCCCTGACCCAGTGAAGGGACCTTCTTACTGCAGCCTCCGCCTCCGGGTTCAGGCGATTCTCCTGCATCAGCCTCCTGAGTAACTGGTATTACAGGTGCCTGCCACCAAACCCGGCTAATATTTGTATTTTTAGTAGAGAAGGGGTTTCACAATATTGGCCAGGCTGGTCTTGAACTCCTGACCTCAAGTGATCCACCGGCTTCAGCCTCCCAAACTGCTACGATTACAGACGTGAGCCACTACACCTGGCCCAGCACAGAATCTTCAATTGACTAACAAAAACAGGACCTCTCATGTGTAGAATGCTTAGTTTGAAAGAATCACTTTGAAATTCTACAAACATTTTTGTTTTCAATAATTTAAAAACTTTTATTAAAAGTAAGACTGAACAGAGCTTGTGATTATAACATAGTGTGGACTCTAGTACACTGCAACAATTCGTCATTGAAATAACAAAGTAAATAATGGTGATTGTTATTAATTTGAAAGCTTTATGTGAACACTTTCCAAAATAAAAAGCAAATGCTTTACAGATCACTTCCCAAAACTGTTGCTAAAGCTGATTCCATTTTTAGAAGCCTTTAGATGAGTGTAGTGTGTGTGATTTAGATATTTTACTATCTGGAGGAATGCAAAACAATCCAAATTCTTTATAAAAAGATTGTTTGTTCTTAAAATATAAAATGTATTAGGACGATATGTGCAATAATAAAGATCACAAACATATAAGCTTTTCCTTATTCATTCTTTAAAGCTGTTTTAAATATTTCTGCTGTTGCATTTTCTTAAAGTTTAAAGTCACAGCAGCAATTGTTAACTTCAGCGTACTAGTTGTTCTTCCCTTCTACCTATCTATAATCCTCAAACTTCTTTAGCAGGCATTTAGTAGACTTTCACCACCACCCCCCGCCCCCTTCCCCCAGCTCTTTCTTTACAGGAGAACAAGTGAGATTACCTGCCTTCCCTGGACTCCCAGGTGGAATGTTCTCTGTTCTGACACTCCTGTGAAATGAGAGTACGATGAGACTGGAATCCAGCTGAGAATCTGGCACATGGGAGATAGGCAAGAAATCATCACTGTACAAATAAAACAGACAGCCCCCTGGGACATCAGTACACATCTCCTTTCTCCAATCATGTAATGCTTTCCTTCCCTCCTTTCCTCCCTTCCTTCTTTCTCTCTCTTTCTTTCTTTCTTTCTTTCTTTCTTTCTTTCTTTCTTTCTTTCTTTCTTTCTTTCTTTTCTTTCCTTCTTTCTTTCTTCTCTTTCTTTCTTTCTTCTCTTTCTTTCTCCCTCCCCTCCCTTTCCCTTCCCCCTCCCTTCCTCTTCCCCATCCCCTTCCCTTTCCCTCCCCTCTCCCTCCCCTCCCCTACCCTCCCCTTCCCTCCCCTTCCCTTCCCTCCCCTTCCCTCCCCTTCTCTCCCCTCCCCTCCCCTTTCCTTCCCTTCCTTCTTTTGAGATAGGGTCTTGCTTTGTCACCCAGGCTGGACTAGAGTGCAGTGGCGTTATCAAGCTCACTGCAGCCTCTACACCTGGCCTCACCCTCCCAAGTAGTTGGGACCACAGGTGCCACCAAACCTGGTTAATTTCTTTTTTGTATTTTTTACAGGGATGACATTTCTCTGTGTTGCCCAGGCTGGTCTCATCTCAAACTGCTCAGCTACAGTGATCCTCCCATCTCCACCTCCCAGCATACTGGGATTACAAGTGTGAGACACATGATGGCCCATATTAGTCTATTTTTCAATGTGTTTCTTAGGCCATCTGTATTCATCTTCAAAGCCATGGTGCCACTGCAGAATGACAGAAGAAAATATACGTTATTATCAGGTAAGCATAAACACGATATACATTTTATATGAATGGAGATAAATTGAAAAAAATATCATTTTTAAGATTGCATTTATCTCTAATGAAAGTCATGAATGAATTACGACCTAAAAAAACATAAAAGACATTTTAATTTAAAATTAGTAGCCGTCTGTAATTATTAACATTTAAGGATGTGAAAGAAAACTACCTACAAAACTTGACAATCTTTCTGAATTCCAACTTTTCCTACAATGTTTGAACTTGATTACTTATGTATATTTAACTTCTAACCCTTCTGTTAGGCAGGAATCTAGACCCAACATGGCGGCATTACCCGGTGTAGCAAGCCTTTTGTTAAAGACTCCCTTCACCCTTGTACACACCAGCAGACTTACATACGTCAGGGGTTCCAGCTGGGCAACCACACTCCCCCATGACCTGCAGCTCACCTGCATTCCACAAGTTCGTAAACAGCAGTTTCGGTTAACAGTTTCCAAAGACCCCTTCCTCATGACCCTTACTCAACTCCTACCCTAGTAGTTTCAAGACCCTCCAGACCCTGTTTGCACAACCAGCTTCCCTACCTCTCGGGCTATAGAAAGCCCCTACCCTCCTCCCTCAGCGCAACTTCCTTGACCGGCACCCTTGGACCAAGGAACCTCACCCGCGAGTCCTAATAAAGGCTATTCTCACTGCCATTTGCCTTGTGTCTTCGTTCCTGGTTCAGCTCCAGCCTCAGTTTACCTTTACATCTTCCTGATTTGAAATAACCTCACTATTTTACATGATTTTGTTTCCAGAATCACTCACTTGCTCTCCCAGGTCATTGTGCTTTTTTCACACCAAAATTACCACCATAGCTTAACAAAAGCAGCTTACTCCCAGACTTTGGGCAGAGGGACAATGGCAGTTTTGCCCATAGGCAGTGTAAAGAAATGTTACTCTCTGTACCAGAAACAAATCTCCAGAAGCCCTCATTGAAGAATGAGATTCCTAGCCCTCAGCTCAGGACTATGGGTGTGGGATTTCTGGAGAGGGAGCCCTGCTATCTGCACTTTCTCAAACTCCCTACGTGAGTCTTAGACACATCAGATTATGAGAATTTAAGGACTGCAGATTTGCCAAAATAAATTGCTGCTTGTTTGGACAGCAAACAAGGTGCTTATGGAGTATTTACACTGTTGTAATACACTTCCAGCCTTTCTCTCTGCCTTACCATGTTTTTAACTTTTTTTTTTTTTTTTTTTTTTTTTCGCTCTGTCGCCCAGGCTGGAGTGCAGTGGCCGGATCTCAGCTCACTGCAAGCTCCTCCTCCCGGGTTCATGCCATTCTCCTGCCTCAGCCTCCCGAGTAGCTGGGACTATAGGTGCCCGCCACCTCGCCCGGCTAGTTTTTTGTATTTTTAGTAGAGACGGGGTTTCACCGTGTTAGCCAGGATGGTCTCGATCTCCTGACCTCGTGATCCACCCGTCTCGGCCTCCCAAAGTGCTGGGATTACAGGCTTGAGCCACCGCGCCCGGCCTGTTTTTAACTATTAACATTAGAGAAGTCATTAGTGCTATTTGAAGAAATATGAGGTATGCTTCACCCAAATGCTATAAACAACTAATTAGAATGATTAGCTGGAGAATGATTTGACTCTCTGAAATTTAACATGTTCTAGAATTTTGAAAAAAGAAAACATATGGAATAATGTTTAAAAAATATTTCCAGAAAGAAAATACTTGTTCATTGATTTGGAATTAATTGGTCAGTTACAGATTTGTTAAACTTTTAAATATGTGTGAGAGTAACTAATTCACCTCCACAGATCCCCAGTTTCTTATTCCAGTCCTACACTGCTCCTTTAAATGAGGCCTACCTCGCTTTCAATTCAAAACCTTTACTCCTGTGGAGTCCAGAACTCAGGACCAATTGAGGTCTTATATTCACCATCAAACACATTCAAATATGCTCCTAACTCAGGGACTGTCATGAACACCAGTCAAACATATCAAGGTAAAAGGATGTCTTTTGCACAATAGAGAGAAAACAATACAGTCTCCTTCCAGAATATTAAGCTGTATCAGCAGTAACAGAAAATAAGCGGATATGTGAAATCCATCTAGTATAAAAAAGAGCAAAGTAAAATGATGAGTTTACAAGTTTTATCTGTCTTCCCTTTTCATGGTGAAATTTAGCTTGAAATCCGAAAATAAGCAGCTCTCTAAATATGCTTCTTAAGATTGCACAAATATTTTCAAGGTAGTTCATTTGAAAATAAAATGTTAGTCATTCTTCCTTGAAAAAGAATTGTAAAACACTAAGCTTTGTAGTGTATTGACATACAAATCATAGTCCCAGTAACTTCATTCACTAATTCAAAAACCTCTGCTAAGCAGGAGAAAAGGATAAAATACTCATTAAGCTTAAATTTCAGTTGGCTGTTAATCAAATAATTACTAAAGTGCAAAGGATTTAGTATATTTGGGGTTTATAATTTGGAGGCAAACAAACTCCAATACACCTAACTAAAAATACTGAAGCAAAGCTTGTATGGTCTAACCCTCTTAGTCAGATAAAACTATAACAGAAATATGGTTTTTTCTGAATAAATGAAATAAATATTTGGTTATAATGAATTAATTAAAAGGTATTTAAAAGTTGAACAAAAGTTGTTTGAAGATATATTAGAAACACATCATAAGCTTTTTTCTTAACCTTTTGAGAACCAAGTGATTTGACCATAATGGAGAAAACTTTTCAGACCCCAGAATTGAAATACATTCTTTCTTCATGATTGTGTAAGGAAGGTGATAGTGTGCGTGTAGCTCTCCCTTTTTTCTAGTCCTTTGATATAAAATTTTTCTAGAAATACAGTTTGTCAAAAAGAAACTGGAGACAAACCTTTCATAGCAATGCACTTACCCACTTGGTGTGAGGGGTAGAAAGGAAATGATAGGGTAGAACTTACCTTGTTAGTTTAGAGAATTATTTCAAGGCCTGGAGACACCTGAGGGCATGCCCCACTGGACTTGGGTTACTTTGTATGCATGCTACTGTGCAGTGTTATTGGGGACAATATATAGATCACCCTGAGGGACTTGAAGAAGAAAGGGCATAGTCCCCACACCCTGCCATTTCTCAGTGTGGGTGTAGTTGGGAAAAAAAGCTGTTCACAATTTGACCTCCACATGGAAAATGCAAAATTCTTCCAAAGCCATTGCCTCTTCACAGCAGTGTAACAAGAGGCTATGTACACAATGCAGAGCACAGCAAGCCCCACTGGCTATTTTCTCTGCCCAGAGTACTTCTCACAAAACTAGTCACTTCTCCTCCTTCAGGACTCCACCCCAAAGCCAACTTCTCACTGAGTTCTTTCCTAACTTCACCAATCCAAGTTGCCCTCCCTCTATCTCCACCCTATCTCATCACTCTCCCACAAAACACTTCATTTCCTTTACAGCACGTATCACTATTAGAAAACATTTTCTTCATTTCTTTACTGATTTAGTGTTTCCTTCTTCCCACTGAAAAGTAATGCTTCTTGAGGTTGTGACCAGTCCTGGCTAAAGAACCATTGCCATTCCTTTGCAAATATTCATTGCATGTCAGAGGCTGGGTACACAATGTTCAGCAAAGCAGGCATGACCCTTGATCTTACTTTCTTGTAGTTTATAGTGTAATGGATGAAACCTATATTAACCAAATAACTACATAAGCAATTGTAAAATTATATCTGTGATTAGTGCTGGGAAGAAGAGAGATATGCACTAACTGAGTGGATAATGGAAAACCTACTTGAGTCAGGGAGGTCGGAGAAGGTTTCTCAGTGGAAGTGACTTTAGAGCTAAGGTTTCAAAGATAAGTAGACATTAAGTGAGAAGATTCTAAGCTGAGGGAAATGGAAAGACCCTGTGGCAACAGGGAAAATGATGTACATAAGTGACTGCGGGAAGGCAGATGCAGCTGGAACACAGGAAGCTGTGGAGAGCAGGCTGCAGGGATGGATCATAGGGGTCACCAGGAGCTAGACCAGAGCCGGAATTGGTGAGCTGTGACTACCTCTCATTTATTAGGAGTGATTGAGTCTTCTGTGTGTGCAAATGTGGGAGTGTGTGTGTGTGTGTGAGTGAATGTTCATAGGGGAGCATAATCGGGTTGTACATTCTAAAGATGGTTATGGTTATTCTGTAGAGGACAGTTGACTAGAGAGAGATAAAAATAGTGTAAGTGGACCACTTAGGAGATCATGGCAGTACCCCAGGGACAAATGATTGACATTTGAATTTAGGTGGTGCACGTGGGAAAGAAAGTAAGTAGGTAGACCCCAGAAACATTAAAGATACAAAATTGAAAAGACTTGATGTTGGATTGGATAGGAAAGAAAATAAGCCAACTTACTACTTACTTGAGTTGATTAATTCTGCCATCATTATCTGAAAGCGAAGATACTACAAGGAGATATGGTGGGGTATAGAGATCATGAACTTGGCTTTGACATGTTAGGTTAGAAGACTTTATAGGGAGCTTGAATAAATTATGACTTGCTACACTTCTTGAATTTCTATGAGTTAGAGTTTTAGCCCTATTCAATTCAACCTGGCCAATTACTATCACTCTCTAAAATAATTTTATCATCCTTCTTTAATAGCCAAATGGAAGCATGCAGTTTTGTTTTCTACAACTTTAAATTCTACATATTGTGTGAAGCACCAAGAAGGCCTAAACACCAACTCAATAATTTTTACTGTTGTGAGAATTGAGGGATGGGCTGTTAGTGGTTTTATCTGTAAAGAAATAAAATCAGTAACTTGAAACCTGAGATCAAAACCATATATCAAAAAAAAAAATAGCGGAATACCAACACACAGTTTTATAGAACCTGAGCCTAAATTGTCAAAATCATACTGCATTTAATACAGACATCCAAGTCCAGTCAAATAACATTTCATAATATCAGATTAGAATGTTCACAGCACATCGCAAGTCATTTGGATTGATGTCACCTCCCCAACACACTTGGCCTTCACTGTTGATTGTCTACCCAACAAGCAACAGAGCCAGGTAGGAGATATTTTATCTAAAATAATGCACAGTTATGCTGAGATCTATTTGTGACGTACTTTTTAAAGGCAGTGCAAAAATGTCTTCTGATACGTTGAGAAAGATTATCTAGAATTAACCAGAAGATATTTTGTTCCTTTTATATATTTCTATTATTTTAATTCTGTAGAAACTCTGGGATAGTATGCAGAAATTCTTTCCATTTTTAAATCATTTTGTGAGTTCAGTTTAATGTTACTTTCTGGAAAGATATCTTCTATTTTTTTTAATGTATCTATCTATCTGTCTATCTCATCTATCTACCTTCACATATGTGTGTGTAACTACTCGAAAATATTTAATTACTATATATGTTCATAGTTTTGTTTGACTTAAAATTTTATGTAAAATTCCATTACTTTAAATAGTAATAATTTTCAGAAAGAGCAACACTAGTCTAAACTAACATAAAAACTGTAATTTTTACAAATATATAAGCCCTCCCAAATAAGGTAATTTAACAAATGGTATTTTTCTGAGTAAACAAAGTAAATGCCAACTTGCTAACCTACTTTGCAAACTTCATCAAGTAACCTAAACAAGCAATCTGTTCATTCATATATCAAGTAGTTAAGAAAAAAAAGAATTTGCTGATGATATTAAAGTAGAAACAGAACCTTTCCAGAGTTTGCCATTATATTTTCTCTCACTTAAAAAAAATCCGTTTTTAATTACTATGATTTAATTTGAACCAAAATCAAGTGAATATATAAACTCCTACAATTTAATCCACTTCTAGAAATAGAGAAAATGTGTTTATGCAGGCAGCCACCAGGAAAGCCATCACATGTAGACAGTGATGTGGATCAAAGGGATGTTTGAGTCCTTTCATTAACAGCTATGTGATAAAGGGACACAAGCTTGAAGAAATGCCTTTCCCATTCGAAACAGATAAATGATGTCTGCAATATCTGTCACTGCCAATGGCCAGCCTGGATGCTCTGTCATGGTTATGTAGTTGGGTAGGAAGACCATCCTGCTAAGAGTTATGTGTACTCCACTGGATGTTTATGTCAGCATTGGCCCCATGACTGCAGTGATGTCTACCGCTAAGTGAGTCAGCATCCCTGATAACTAAGCCTTACATCTCACACTGAAAACTACTTGCAAGCAATATACAGAAACTTATCAATTGAAACTTATTAAGTATTATTTACCCAATATTCAGAGAACAGAGAGCTATTCTACTCAATGTAGGGAATACACTTATTCAGAAAATTTCAGTGTTCCTTTTTATATTAACATTTATTGTTTTCTAATTATACACAATACTTGGCATATTAGAAAAATTTACAGATACAGAAAAATATATTAAAAAGAGAATGAAAAACGCCCATAATCTCATCTCCAGAAATGGCCCTGTCAGCATTTTGGTATAGTTCCTTCCTGTCTATCTTTATGCATATGTAACTTTTTAATACAACTAAAATTGTACTATATATGGCATATTAGGCCAGTTTTTAATACAATAATATAATTTTCCATGTTATTAAATGTTATATAAAATAAAGAATTTTAAAGTCTCTACAATGACCAATTGGTTAGCTGTATGGTAATCTATTTAGCAGGTAATGTACTTAACGATACATATGCTATTTCCAACCTTCATTATTTAAAAAAAATTGAATTTTTACAATTCTTTTCTAAACTTCTGAATTCAATGCCCTTTAAACCATTATGTGAAACACTGACACATCAGTTTTAAAGCATAATAAATAAATCGCTCAACAGACATAAAAATAATCTAACTTAAGATTTTTAATAAAAATGATATAAGTAATGAAAGAGCTACTTTATGTAAATCACAATATTTGAAGGCGTATTACTTCAAAGGGGTGTCTTGTTTCTAAAGGCACAATTTTCAAAGATGCACCAGGTAGCAAGTGCCACTTGCGGTGATAGTCTTTGTGTTGAGAAAAATGCCTAAACTTTTGCTATATCAGTGACTGCTGTGATCTTGTCTCATAAGTGAGATCTCAGGCACATTTTTGTCTTCTTACAAGGAGAAGAGTCCTGGAGTAGCTGGGGCGCTGACGGGGAGCCGTTCACGTATGGGCCACTGCAGCAGGCAGAGGATCTTGATTGTCAGAATCAACTGTTCATGCTACATAAGACAGGCAACCGTTACCAACATGTTCGTTGAATGGCAGTGCAAAGATGATCAACTACAAAGTGCTCATCTGTAATTTGGGTTGACTTTATAGTAGTCTGAGAGGTTGGGATAAATAAACGAAACATTCTCCAGATAATTCACATGAATAAACTTGATAAAGAGTGTCGAGAAAACATCTTTCCAACAATTAGTCTTGCATTGGCTTTTTAAAATGTTTTAAATAATGATTCTATTTTTAAATAATGATTCTAAATTTGTCTTAGCTGGAAAATCCATCAAAATCACTGTATTTCAACATTGGCATCTATGAATCCCTTTATTATAGATTCTTTCTATTCCATTTAGTTACTAGGTGTTCAGATGTCTAAAATCCAAAATAAGTAGTTTAAATATATTAAATAACAACTGTGCTAGTCAGTGTGTTTGAGTTCAAAATGTCTGAAAACAACAACTGCACACAAACCCCCAATTCAACCTGCCTAGTAATTTGCACCACACAGAAGCTAATCAAAATCAGCAGTGTCATTCTAAGGTTATCTAAGACAACAACTAGACAATGGCTATTCTTTTCCTGAAGGTATGGGCAAAACAAATTTAGACCCTTTCCTCTGATTCTCAGTCCATCGCCCACCAAACAATGACACAGTTTGGCATATGACTTCACCACTCTTGAGTGACTGAACTGGAAAGGGCGCTATGGTCTTCCTGACAGCGACCTTCAAGGAGGGAGCTGTGTTAGTGCCACCCTCATCCTTCAGGTACACTTCATAGGCAAGGCTTACTGCTCTCAAGAGACAATTGTGTACCCTAAGTGAGTAGCATAACACATACCATGTGCATTATTTCATTCACTAAGTAAGAACTGCCCTTACCAGAGGAGGCTAAAACTCACCCATTAGCAGACAGATCTTTTGTTCTCACATTTGAAAGCACAGGTTCAGAATGGAAAAAGAATTTAAACCACCAGGTGGATTCTGCCACTTCAGGCAACCCTATCAAATAAAATTTGTATTACTCCTTATCAAACAAATTTGAGATTAAAAATAAAAAGAAATAATACGGATGGCACTGAAAGAAATAACTAAGTACCTTGCTGTGATTTGTCATCATCTATGAAGTTAATGGAATCAGAGCCAGTTAAAGAACTAACTGAAGAAACACTGGACTCTGTGGGAAACAAATGATATTAAACAAATAAATAACTGGCAACCAGACAAGCACATTCGCATAATTTAAATACAAACTGTCAAGTAGCATGGTTTGAAATCATTTATTCCTAGCTTGTGAATTCGTGAATTGAAAAACTGATCAAATTACCAATCAATAGAAAGCTGCTATATTAAGAAATACTATGTTCTACTGATAAGATATAGTCCTTTCCAAGGCAGGCAACTCACCCTCTCCTTGGATATGAATGTTGAATTTAAAATGTATTATAAATGTTTTCAGATTCAAAGACTAAGAAGGAACAAGACCAAGAATAAATATTGTCGTACTACATTAGAAATATTACATACATATATATTTAAAGTTCTACAAAAGTCATCAAATCTAGGAATTAAGGAATTATTTTGAAAGAACAAACATTTTGTCTTATTAAACTTGTATTTAAAACCTATGTCTCTTATAAGATCAGAATATAAAAGTAACTCCTGTGGATAAATAACACCAAGTAAATGAGCATAAACTTTTGTAAAATAAATAAATCAGTGGTTGTCTCTAAAACTTATACTATAAGCAACCCTTGAAAGAAGAGTTTTCTATGCGTTGTTGCCATAGATACTTTTAATAACTACTAATTTGGTTCTAAAATGCTTATTTTATTTTATGAAATTTCTCAATCTTCTCTAAGAAGCTACAATTTTCTATTTGGCTATGAATATGAACAGATGGACAGATTAATAAAAATAAAACTGGCCAGATAGAAATTGGCCTATTATCCATAGCAGAAGATGGAAATTAGAAAGTTTTTGAAGCAAAATCATGCTACCCTTTCTTTTCTAAGGAGTTGAATAATACTTTATGTATGTAAAATTATCCGTTTTTAGTGGATCTTACAGAATGCAAAGTACATAAAATTAAAACATTGTAATGAAACATAAGCTGATGTTCACTGATTTTTAAGTGTCAATGGCTTCATCAATCCAACATAGCTAGAACAAAGAAGTGGCTGTCAGCACTGGGTCAGAGAGGTCCCTGAGGCCTCCTGTTTCCTTCATTGTCACCAAGAATTAGTTTTCTCCCTTAAGTTCTGAAGGTAACATGATACCTATGTTAACAATATCCCGCAAGCATCACCTCAAATCATATTACCTAGGGATGTCTCTATGATGGTGCAACTTACTTCGATAATACTGATTTCTGGCTAGAAGGCAACCGATGGAAGGTACCGATGCCATGGCTTTACCCGTGAGAAAGCACCCAAGAAGCTGTGAGCATCAATCTGAGAAACAGCAGCAGAGAAAAGAGGCATTGATATGAATAAGAGGGAGTTTTCTTTTCTTTTTTTCCACGTGACTGTTACAAAGTATTATCATTTACCATGTAATAAATATCTGACAAAAGGAATTTAAATGTTTACGCAAAAGTTCAACCAAACATATTGCAATAAAAAGATGCAATTAAGTAGTACATTTAGGTCAAAAAGAAAGAAAAACTATACGTCCAACTATACACAATACACAGAACTTACTCCATCTACAACAGACCTAAAGATCAGAGAAAAAGTGTTAACTCAGCCATGAGGTAGTCACTCACCTATTTGTTTTCTCCAATTGGTTCTTTTAAAATAAACGCGGTTCTAAAGTTTCTTCATAAAATACATGCTTTGAAAGAACCAGTTCTTAGAGATTGAAGAGAGGCTGCACCACCCACCCAGGCCCAGAGGCAGGGGCATGATCGGGGACCCCTGAGCACACCTTATATTTAGAAGCCCCAGGCTGGCTGGAACCTGAGCTGTGGGTGACTTGGAGTGAGGTGGGCACACAGCCAGTCAGAGGCCGCAAGCAAGCACTCCCTGCACGTCTGCCCTCCAGCCAGTCAAAGGCCCTCAGAATGCGGCAGCCTGCCAAGTTTGGCTGCAGTCAGCAGGGAAGGACTTGGCCCGATGCTCCTTTGGACTCAGCCTATTTAATATCACAACCGCTGGTGACTACAGAGAGGGAGGCGATACGCAAGTGTCTCCTCAGCCTTAGATACAATCACACACTCCACCTGCAACACCACGCTGGGCACGTGTGGGATGCACAAGCAGCCTGCTATCTGGCTGGGGAGACTGAACATACCCTCCCACAGTTACAGCGAGGCAAGGCAGAGTCCCACTGTCAAAGGAGAGCAAGAAAACGCTCTAGGCAACATTGAAGTCGTCCCGGAAGTGGGACAGAGTCAGTAGAACTTGATGGACAGGTGGACCGTGAGTGAGAAATTCTAGCAGGAATGACAAGAGACAAATGGAAATCATGGGTAATAAAGAGGATATTTATTACATTGTATCAATATCATTTACTGATACAAAAGCTAAGTTTTATTCTGATTTCAGTAACATTTCTCAGATAGATTGCTTTGCCCTTTCTTTTCTTTTCTTTTCTTTTTTTTTTTTTTTCTGAGACTGAGTCTTGTTCTGTTGCCCAAGTGGTGCGATCTCGGCTCACTGCCAGCTCTGCCTCCCGGGTTCACGCCATTCTCTTGCCTCAGCCTCCCGAGTAGCTGGGACTACAGGCGCCCGCCACCACACCCGACTAATTTTTGTATTTTTAGTAGAGATGGGGTTTCACTGTGTTAGCCAGGATGATCTCGATCTCCTGACCTCGTGATCCACCCGCCTTGGCCTCCCAAAGTGCTAGGATTACAGGCGTCTTTATGATACAATTTATATTTCTTTGGGCACATACCCAGTAATGGGGTTGCTGATTCAAATGATAGTTCTGTTTTTAGGTCTTTAAGGAATTGCCATACTGTTTTCCACAAGGGTTGAACTAATATACACTCCTGCCAACAACGTACAAGCCTTTCCTTTTTCTCTGCAACCTCGCCAGCACCTATTATTTTCTGACTAAGTGCTATCTTTTAAATGATTTCTAAATCTTCTGCCTTGTCATGAGATAATTTCTGATTTTTACTCGTTTTTGAAGTAGTCTATGGAAGTGGCTTTCTGTGCACTTGAGAAAAATAAACATTATTTATTTGCTGTATACTGCCATTATTTTACATGTATCTGCTAGATTGCATCACTTAACTTTTATAAGCAAATAATTCTTATACTTACCAATGTGTTACTGCTTGATCTACCAGTTTCCTGTATGAGTATATCATCTAATTATATCAATTTTTGTTTTATGAATTTTGAAGTTTTGTGATAGGTGCACACAATAATCACGATTTCAATATTGTCTGAGTGGATATTTGCCTTTGTCTTCTTTCATCATGACTAACATTTTACCTTTGTGCTGTTTGTTTAATTAGTCTAGTATTAATATTATTGTACCAGCTTTTTCTCTAAGTAATCATCAAGTATGTCTTTTTGCATCCCTTAATTTTCAACTTGCTGTAACAATCACTTATAAGCATCCTTTAACTGTATTTTTTCCTAATGATATCTGTTTTTTGAAATATTTGAGTAATTACATGTAATGGAATTACTCACAATTTGAACTTTAGATATTGAGATTTTCCTACATAATTTTTATGTCTCAGTCACTTATATGCATGTGTATACTTTAAAACCTTAATATAAAAGTAAATTTAGTTAATTTAACCTTTGTCTGCACTGCATTTTGAGTGAGTACCACAGTGTTTCTTCCAATTTACTACTTCTCTTTTAAACTATATCGTACCTAAAATTTAGCTTGTATGTGTATGTATACACACACACACACATATGTATGTATGTTTGTATATATATTTACCTATGTAAATTTAGTTGCTGTAAATATTTTTGTAAATATGTTTGTATATATATTTACCTATGTAAATTTAGTTATTTAAAAATAAATTTAGTTTATTTCTGTCCTGTTTTTCATAGTTCTTTCGTTTGTTTCTCTGACCATCTTTAACATGGTTACTATGAAGTCTTAGTTGAAACCCTCTATGAAATCAGCATCATTCCATGTGCATTCTGTCACAGTTGTGACTCTGTTGGCTGGCTTTCTGAGCAGGAGATCTCTTCATAAGTTTTGGCTGTTAGTTTGCAGGTTCATTTCGAGTGTTCTCTCAGTCCCCTGTACTCTCCCACCCACTAGGCCACCCCACCTCTCCTGGCTAGTGGCACCATGGGGTTCAGCTACCACTCTCACCTGACCCTAGTTTTTGTGTCTTTGAATTATAACACTACTCACATTTTATTAAGTTATTTACTTCTTTCACATATTAAATTGTGAGCAGGTCAAAGATGGAGGTGCCTCTATTCATTTCAGCTTCAGCAATGCCCAGCACAAAACCTGACAGATATGGTAGTTTAGGTTCCAAAAATGTAATAAAACCAATGCATTCCTTCTTTGCCTGGTAATAAGGATTACATTCTTGGGTATAATTAAAAAGCCACAACAGGGCTTAGATTTAAATGCTATAACTGACATAATTAGAGTAATTTTTACCTGATTGCTGATTCATGTTTTTTTTTAAATACCCAAGTACTAAAATTAATCACAATCACATTCTCAGTGAGTATTTTGTCCTAGAGTTGAGGGTGCTAACATTTTTCCTTGATAATGACAAGAAGAGAGTGAGTGCCTGATTCCAATGACATGCTGAAAACCGGCAGGGAAAATGGCGCTGTCCTCTGCACACTCCTGTTCAGACAAGTTGTAAGATGTGCCCTACTGAGGTATCAGCCTCTTAAAGGGTTGAGAAAGGGTTCAGAAAGACTGTTATAATTAGTCAACTGCAACCCTTCTGAGAGATGATCTGTTTATCACATGTAAGATAATATTACCCTTTCTAAATTTATTGACATTGGATGCAGTAGTAAATAGATATCAGATTGCTGGTTTCTGGAGCATGGAAATCCATGGCAAGAACAATGGCCAAACTTGCTGATAATTCACCATGACCCTATGTTGTCACAACCACTGGCCAAGTGTGCAGTAAGAGAGGATCAATATCTGACTGTCCTGGAAGACTTAAAATGTCTAGATCTTATTCCAATCTGTGGTTATAAAGTATCTGATTGTTCATACAAGATGTCAAGAATTTTAAGTGTGTCCTGATATTCAGGCCAATAAATGTACTATATTAAGCATAGCATAGTCACTCCTAATAACTAATGCTGCAAATGAATATGTGTAGCGTGTATTCTATAAACACATGGCAATCTGCATTAAAACACTGTTTCATTTCTTAATTGTTGTGGAAAAGGTTGCCAAAAACTAGTTATTGACTATCTCTGGGCCTCCACAAGTGATATATGAAAAAGGAAATAATAATATCTAACTTTATTGGAAATTCATTTTAGTTTCAATACATATAATTCAATTGTTTGTTTAAATTTTATATTTCTCTGAATCGTCTGTAGTCTATCCATTAATTGTCATGATTTTGTACAACAGAAACCAATCTCATCTAGAATCAGGAAACAATTTATTGGGAGAATAGTGGTCAGTTGATACAATGATTAGGAAGCATAGAGCAGTGTGCTCTCATGAGCAGGATTCTCCAGGAAAGATCCTGGGAGCTTATACGGAGTCATCTGGTACATGAATTGCCAGAGCCAGGACACGGCAGGAGGTGCACCCAAACCGCTTCCCATGGCACTGGAGCTAAAATTGCCACAGCCACACATCCCAAGGGCTGGGCTGCTGGCTCCTCTAGACAGTCTCTAAGAGCTGGCTCCCTAAATCCCGTGGGCATCCTGAATCTGCCTCCTTACACTCTGGCTGTTTAGTGATCCACTAATAAAGTTGTTCTTATCTAGAAGAAGGCAGCACAAAACAACATAATATTACAGTATGCTCCCCAGAAAATTCTTGCCCTCCTGCTTCTTGGGGGATTAGAGATTGGGGCTGAGTGCCCTCTCTTACTGACCCCTGGCTCATACGCTTTCGGGATAAATCCTGTTTTTCAACCCGTACTATGTGATGTTGTAAACTCTGTCCTGAGAGCTATTGCACTTTTGGGAGTCACTCAGGAAAAAAGCAGGCTTAGAAAATGACAAGAACCAAGTACATTTAAGCAGAGAAGCATCTGCCCAAGTCACACCACAGGCAGAAAATGGTGAGGGATCTGCTGTCATCTATGACGAAGCCGCCAACACAAAGCCCCCAGCGGGCTGAACTTAGTGGCTAACCCTAGGCCAGGCGATTGCCTCTAGCTTCATGGAGATGGAGAAGACATGTATCCTTGTAGCAAAAACTGCTGTCTTTCAGTATCTATTCTCTTCTTTCATTTTTAACATTTATTAGGCATCATCCACTCAACTAGGCAACCCATTTCTCAGCCTCCCTTGCAACAGGGAATATGTCTGGGCCAGTGAACTGTGAGAAGTGTGTTGTTCATCTTTAAGATCATCTCCTTAGAGACCAAGCCACTTGGCATGGACTTCTTTTTGGCTTACTGGCTGGAAAATGTTACTCACCAAAACCATCTTGGAAAAGGCCACACTGTGAGAATAGCTTTCCCACCTCAGGGCTAGTACCAGAGAATGAAATAAAATTCTCTTTCTAGGCCGTATCATGTTCTTATTGTTATGAGAGATTAGCTTGCACTCTGACCATGAAAATCAACTTGGACTTCAATAGGGAGTGGCACAGAGTGTTAGGTTCCTCCAAAATAGAATAGGTCTTCAGATGCTGAACTGCCAAGGAGCAAAGGCTGATGTCACCAGAATGTTTTATTGTCCTTGATCCTAACACGTATCTTTTGCTCTGCTAAGCAGTCCTAGTCATTTCCTTCCACTTGAATGTGGCAGCCTCATTCCCACCACATGTCCTAACTTACATCGTTTATG